CTATCACACCTATCCTCAAAAATCTTATATTAAAAAGAACCGTTTATAATCACAGTTATATAAAGAATATATTAAATAACTTGGCATCTAATAATCGTACAAAGATGTACTATAGCTTGTTAGAATCGTCTCACTGAGATGAATCGAATGGTGGTATTTTTATCCTTTTACGATCACTGGCTGATGAGTTATTCAACAAAATGGTAAGCATCGGCATTATTATATTTCTTGATTTACATTTACTGCGCCATTTAACATTTTGCCAAATTTCTCGGTACCTAGTGATTGTAAAAAGACGATTAATAGCTCGTTGGAATCGCCTCATCATGACGAATCGAATGGTGGTAAGCTCATCTCTCTGTGATCAATATTGACGGAGTTACTACTTAAAAACTATTTAATATTTTTTAATTTCAGAAATTGATCTAATGATTGGGTTTCGATGTATTTTATACCATTAGATTCGTCGCATCAAGACGAATCGAATGGTAGTAAGATTGTCTCTCTAGGATCAATATTGGCAGAGTTCTTACACAAAAACCATTAATATTTTTTTAATTTCGGAAATTAATCTAGTGATTGGATTTCGATGTATTTTATACCATTAGAACCGTCTCATCAAGACAAATCGAATGGTGGTAAGATCATCTCTCTACAATTAATATTGACGGAGTTATGATACAATAAAGTTTTGAGTATAATTTTGGCCAAAATTATGTTAATTTTTGGCCGGAATTATGTTAATTTTTGGCCGGAATTATGATATACTAATATAAGAAATTTTTTATATAGTCACATCTCTTCATAATCACCAAATATTTTGTTACCGACATCCCACTTTTTCTTACTGAGACTCAAGTCTGTCAGGCATTTTCCCGATATGGTACCGTAATCAAGTGCAAACTTACCCCTAGAAACCATTACTATAATGGACATATCCAGTTTTCTTCCACGGATGCAATTACCCAATTTAATGATATTTGGGCNATTATTATTAAGAAAACGGAAGAAAGTAAAAGAAACTTTAGTTCAGTGTTAAAGGAGATGACGGAATTGGGTTTATTAAATGCATGTTACGCATTTTCCTTTAATGAATATAAGCCCCTTATAAAAAAACTGTAAAAACGTGTAATATCATAATATTAATATGGGAGTTAGAAATGAAAATTCTAACACTAGATAAAGCTTAAAAGAACTAAGACGACGGTAAAATATTGAAGTTTAATCTTTTATCTGTAGATTATTTGATCATCTAAATTATATTATTAATTGGTGTAACTTGGCGTAACTATATGCAAATCTTATGATCAACTATGTCAAAACTACAGAGAAACCTATTATAGAGGTTTCGGCATGTTTCGGCAGTTTCACAATTTTGACAGGTTTCACAGTTTCGGCGTTTCGGCGTTTCGGCACTATATAAGAGGTTTCACCTTTTGGCATTAGGCCAAACAGGTTTCGGCAAGCAACCTTAGATATCATAATGATATCATTTGCAAATCGATATCGCCATGATATTTATTTAACATCATTATTATATCAATTTGGTATTGTTTAAAAATTCAAGGTTTCTGTAAAGATGATTCCAGAGGAATCGCTTGATGAAAATCAAATCGTAGAACAAGGCCTAATACATGAATTATGTTCATTCATATCACCTGAAGATAATGTCAGCTCTACTGAAATCATCAGCTCTTGCGTTAGTTTAGAGAATTTGATTTTGGGTTCTGCCCAGCACTTATCTTATTTATTTGAAATAGCAATAAAATCCAGTCAGCAGGAAATATTAGACTGGTACAATTATTCTTTTGAATTTGAGAGTAAGGTTGATGCTCTTATGGCTGATGGTAGAATTAAGGATAAAACGGTAAGATCAACGATTTACAAGGAAATGAAACCATTTCTCCTTACTAAAATCACACAAGCTAACTTGCGCAAGAAAACTCATAGGGCTAGAAAACATCTTATGTTATTTGGGAAAAATGGGATTAGACTAGATAAAATTAAGCTAGTCTTATATAGCGCAACTGAGATTTTGAAACTGACTAACGTACAAATCCAAAATGTCATAAAAAAATATACTAGTGATCATCAGAGTCATATGACTTTAATAAAAACCGTTCTCTCAGGGAACGATCAGATTAAGACTGAAGTAAGTACATCAGCAAATATATTATCTGTATCTTCCTCCAGTCAATCTAAGCCCGATCATTCCTATTTTCGCAACAAGATATTGGATCAATATCCTAATCTATATAAAGAATGTAGTAGTGAAAATTTTGATTATTATGGGATTACTGATGAGACAACATGCAGAAACTATATCTGCCCATTATGCAAATTAGGTTGTTTTCTCAAATTAAACTTTTTTTGAATAATATTATAAAACAGGATCTTACTTTATTAAATGTGAACAGCGTGAAATTGAGATAACTGCATAGTCTCATTATTTTATAATACTGCATTTCATTATGTGATATTTTTTTACAGGTCAACTACTGACTAATTAAATTTAAATTGATTCATATAAAAAGCAACATGACCAAGTCCAATAAAATATTAACTCCCAAATATCTGGATTAGCATGCCAAATTAAGTGGGTTACCAAGCGTTTTGACAGATAAGATTCGTTCCAATTTATGCAAAAGATATAAAAAAGAAACTGGAAATGAGCCATGGCAAGCATCAAGAGCTGTGACAAATATGTCAACAAAATCTCAAGCCTCTGATTTCAAGCCTATCACTTTCGAAGTCAGACCTGATCCAGAATTAATTATCAAATCCGTCTTAGAGCAATTCCCATACTTGAAATTCGGAAATAGTTTCAGAGGGATTGATAATTATAATTTTACATCACCTTAGCCGTGGAGCTCACCATGTCCTATTTGCGATGGAAAACATGGGAATTATGGATTACATGGCTCATGGTACTGCGAAAATGGGAATCAGCTCCCTTATGATCCTGAATTAGCGAAGTTCTATTCTCAAGATAAGTTGGAATATTGTCTTACCTGCAACACTTCAAGTAATAAACTAAAGTTCGCAATTGTACTGTAGTATAGGACAAAAACAGATCATGTGAAATCAATCACCCGAAAAAATGTACTCATTGCCATGATAAATGCACTGCCGAAATAATAGGACTGTGCAAATTCCAAAGTAAATGAAATTTTGGTCATATGAGAATTTTTTTTTATTATATTAATATTTATATATCATGCCGAATCTCTTAACAAACAATCAGGATAGTACAGCTTATAAAGAGCTGGAAGGCGCTTTGCTAAGGCAGAACTGCTTTGAAAAATGGCATATATTTAGGGGATGGAAGCATGGATGTAAGGTTTGTGAGGAATGCGATCATCACTCACATCTGTATTGCAAAAGGTGTAAGAAGGTGGCGGAAGGAATTTATAAGCGATGTGAATGTCCTCAAGTAATTTGATCAATAAAGCAAATGGTGCAAATTTACCAGACATTTTAGGAATTGTGTGAAGCAAATTGTGCTATTATTTTTTTTTATTATAGCTTGATAAATCAATGCGCAGTAATATTATAGTAATCGTTACATTTATCACGGGAACAAGTAATAATTTATTCTCAAACTTTCTCGAACATTCTCAAAAATTATGTATAACCCCTTGATGATCCTTATATATGGATAGCGTTAAATTCTTTATTGTTAAATTAAGGGGATGTCGTTGATCAGGTTTTTGTGATGCGATCATATTAACGTAATTTTCCCCAAAAGCTTATTCCAAGATCGATCCTGCAAATTATATAAAAAGGTGATGTCCCTGTTAATGAGCCCTTTTATCCGCCTTGTGCAAGTAAAACAAAACCATTATTAAAATCATTGGTATTAACAATCAAACGAACTCGTATTTTCCGCAAAGTAATAATAAAGTAAGTTGTTTATTGCTCGGCTAACTTCTTGAAACATGCCATCATGATGTTAATCGATTTTCCACCTTTATAGATGTTCCAAAATAAAACGGACGTATTACCCTTCTTGTTATATATCGGCATTTTGATCTTCGCCGAGAAAATCTTTGACTATCATCATGTGTATAATAGGCGCAGTGAAATAACGAAAATATTATCTAATCTAATCGAAGCCACGTGTCTCATCAGCGCAGTAAAATTGCTGTGGCTTTCCTATCATCTGATTTTCAGCATCAACAAAATTTGGCGCAGTATCGTACTGGCGATAAAAAAATCGACATACCTTTATTATAACGCTCTAAACAACAAATTTCCTAAATATAAGGCGGAATGGAATGTTGTGAAAATGAATCGTAGTGGTAAGTGTGAATCGGAATTATTATTTTTTTTTTACATCAGTTGCTAATCTCCCGAATTTATGTGCGGGAAAATTTATTTCGGAAATCTAGTATAATAAAAGAGTGTGGGGATGAGAATCTCGTAGATAGCAATAGTGTAGAAATAAATTAGGTGTAGAAGTTTATAAAAAGTCTGAGAGAGCAAAGAAGTAAATTGATGCTGGGCATTAAATGGCCTAGGATCCGCGTACTCCCTCCCTCTTTGATAGCATCATACACTTCATTTGCTTCTCTAGCATTTCCGCACCATATCATATATTATCACTTATCTTTTTCTCATAATAAAGTTTTCACTCGGATCAATCGTGTATGTATACATTTTAAAGTGTATGTTATTAATTAAATATGATCGAGAATGGCTGATAAGAGGCTGGCGACTATCAAGAGATAACTTGAATACCCACTGACTCATAAGTTCACCGCCGATTGACCGGCCGACATGAATTATGGCTTCTCCTACGTATCAAAAGATACAAAGGGAAGTTCTCACCGCCGATTGACCGGCCGACACAAGAAACTTCGGCAAAATCAGCGGATCAACTGCTACCGCCGATTGACCGGCCGACGCGAGTAGTTGTTAGACACCAAGCAACTCAATACTTCACCGCCGATTGACCGGCCGACATGAAGTATGGCTTCTCCTAAGTATCTAAAGATACAAAGGGAAGTTCTCACCGCCGATTGACCGGCCGTCACGAGAAACTTCAGCATAGTTGCATCCTCAAGTATAATATCGAAAAAAAAGCGACATGCGACTATTATAAAATTCAGTGATCGACAAAAGAACGGCCAATCAAAATACGGCATGGAGATATGATTGTTAAAAAATTATCGCGTAACGCGTAACTTGATCATCACTATACATTATAAATTTATTTCTCGCGTAACTTGATCCGCTTTACCTTAATTATAAATTCTTAATGACAGCAACTTTAAGAACAACAAAATACATGCACTATACATTGCCCGACAGTATTGGCGAAGAAACGATTGTAAATGAATACTTTAAAAAAGTCGAAGCTCAATACTGGCAACTGAAGCATTACCTTAACTATCGTCTTAAAAATGAAAGAGTAATCATACCCTGGGTACAAATTTATGAAGATTGGTTACAATCGCTTAAAAACATTAGGGGAACAAACCATAAAGGAATGCCGGGCTGTGTATCTTCACTATGTATCGAACTACTTAACGTAACTAATAGCTTTGAAGGTGTTTCGGTCCTAGAAAGTTGCATGCAGTGGTATAATAAATTCTATGAGCGTAATTTCGAATTGCAGTTCGCAGAAAGAGTACGGCAATTAGAAACAGATATATTACATTGTAGCTTTTCATCTCAGAGAATGGCTGGATTAACAAATGAGGTAAGAGACAGGAGGAATGAGTCAACCTGAAGATCATAGTGCTCGAGGTTGGGATGATGCTATTAACAATACAATCATTAGTAATACCGATTCAGATATTTTAATGAATACAAAAAAATTAATGAAGGAAACATTGCCAAAGTTGTAAGTAGGAAAATTTCATTGTAATTTATCTAAATTCTAACCAATTTATTATTTTATAGTTTAAAGGCTTTTTCATTAACTACTCTTAACCCATTGAGAGACATAACTATATTAGAGAAACCGCACTTGAACCAGTTTGTACACCCAATTATGGACTCGGCATTGTGGATCTTTGCGAAAGTTTATTATATATAGTAAGTGACTTTGAATTTTCATTTATTGCATAGATTGCATTGATGACTAAAAGTGCTTTGCATTGTTCAGCGGAGAAATACCATTGAAAGGTATGAAAACTAAAGTACGTGCAGACGGTGTAGGATTTCTTAATGATGTCATCAATTATCCCATTGTCTGTGGTGAAGGAGCGAGGCCTGGAGCATCACAACAAAAAAGTGTTGATGATGATGTAAAAAACGCAAAAAGTATGGTAGAACTTTATAATAATATTGTCATTTCAGAGGCTGATGCTCATCGACAACTATTTACGGACTTGAAAACATATGGAATTACTGCGTTCAAAACTGAGGTTTCGTTAACTATGATGGATTTTCGCAGTATGTGATGTAAACTTGGTTTGAAATATTGCACAAAACCTAGTAATTAACATTATTCAATTTTTCAGGCACACACAGATTGTTCGAAGTCGATAATTTCGGCCTACCAAGGGATTGGGCTGATATGCCCAACTTTGTGTGGTTATATGAGGCGGTAATAAAATGGGCAGTAAGTACTTTCATACATTTTTTATTTGCACGTGATACGACTGATACTAACGAGTTATGCATAAATATAGTTATGCGCTAATGCAACACGTGGTGCGTTAATTGATCATAGAAAGAAAAGAAGGTTAGGTCGGTACTCAGAAGCAATCAACGCAAAAAAATTATCACGATTAAGAAACTAATATTTTATTGCTGTACTTTTTATATTATCTTAATAAAACAAACATCTGTCATCGATAGATATTAAGCTAAGCCTATTAATTTTTTGCTAGTGGTTTTAATAATGGTCGAAATACTATTTAATATCATTGAAAAAATAAAGTTTTTATCAAATTGATCGTCTGTTTTATAAAACAATAAGTTACAATATTAGTTAAAGAAAAGAAAGATCATGAATAATAACGGTGGCTTTGCTATAATGTCAATAGATCAAGGGAGGTGAAATCTGATTGGCCAATCATCTTGTGATTTATAGAAACTCGCCAGCGCCTGGAACTCTCCTAGAACTATCGAGGAACTGGCAGGGAGTTAGGGTGATACTGTGATATGATATACGTTGTACCACAAACCGATTTAGCCAAGGCGTTGTGCATGCATGTAAATATAAAATTAGCATAGTCGAGATATGGCCCTATATAAATCCTCAGTATGCTTATAATCGAATAAAAATGAATCTGATATTTATTAGAGTATATTATTGCTAAATTTGCTAAAATCGCTAAAAACTGTATAAATCAATAAAATCGTTATATTCTGTTATAATCTACTAAAACGCTAATATGGATTTAGATAGTAAAGCCTATTCCAAGTTAATTCATGCACACAATAGTTTTGGAGGCTCTGAAGAATATATAAGAATTATTTTTGCAATATTGCCTTTAGCAGAAAGACATGATCATGAAACACCAGAAATGTGGTGCTCTCGTATTCATGATCCATTTAGGAAAATACTAGAAGAGAACCCAAGAATCCTTTCTAAGAATGGATATATTACAATGTATGGAAAGCTATATTTAGATGATAGGATTCATAATCGTCCAACCAATTATATATATTGCAGTGTATGTAACTCCTTAGTTTTCACACCTGCAAATAGTCTTTTTGAGGATCGCTATGGAGATAACCACTTGAAGAGATGTATTTCTGGAAATACTATTTTGAATGAATATGCAATAAGAAATGAAATTCTCAAATCTATTGATACAAGGGAATTTCAGATCTGGCAATATAAACAATACATATTACAAGAAGAGGCTAAAATTAATCGTCTCCGTCTAGAGCTTTTTTCTCAATCTACCTCAGACTCAGAAAATGATAAGTTGGCATCTGTATCATATGATTATGATATTCGTTCAGTTAGCTATGAATCTTACCTTTCAGCTAAAGCAACTATAGCAGAAAATACTATGCCAAGTGCTCCAAAATTCAAGCCAGCTTGTATTTCTGTTACCTCTGGTAACCAAGAAATGATTCCACCAACTTCTTATCAGTCATCAAATTGCAAAAGTGATACAGGCTAAATATTTATTTCGTCTCTATATGCAAAACAGCCAAAAGGCACTGCGTTGAGATTGAGGGATGGAACATTAATCATGATTGTCTAACTGACTTGACTGATTCTGAGAAATATTCTACATTATAGACTATTGCTTTTAACTGAAAATTAATATTATTTAGCCAATGTAACTTATTCTTTATTTTTTATGCTAAATAATCTGCATACATGATCGCCTAGTAAAATTGGTTGAAGGCGCTATACATTTCATGTATCACCTGCCAAATTTTTCAGATTAGTCCTTAACCCAGATCCCGGTTAAGATCATGCGCTTTCTGAAGATTGATATAAATTGATCCAAGGGGTTCTCCCATTCTCTTTTATAATCACAAAAAAAGAATGTCATTTCACATATCTCACCCAAGGCAGAGAAGAACATGTGAAGAATATAAAGCTGAGCTGGAAGAAGAGAACTATCATCTTCATAGTGAATTGCAGATAGAAGTTGATACTAATCGCCAGAATGAGAGACTAATTAATCAACTGGAACGGGATTATACCCGATGTGAGCAAGAAATTCAAGATCTCAATAAGGAGATAGAGCGTCTTGAAAATGCTTCGAAAGAAGAAATAGTAGAGTTAAAATCTGAAATCTCTACCCTAAAAAGTCAGCTATATTAAGCTAGAAATGATGTGCAAGATAAGGGAAAATATATTTCTAGTTTAGAAGAGTAGTTAGTAAAATCTGAGGAACAAATTAAGAAATTGCGATACCGGATCAGAAGCATCTTATCACGAAAAAATTTGCCTGAACGAGAGAATTCTCCAGACTTGTATAATTCGGATGATAATATGGCCACAATCACAGAGCTAGCAAATGCTATAGATGGTTATGTGGATAATAGAGCAACAACTAGGGATATTCTTATAGACCAAATAAAAAGATTTACAATGCAGATATGCCGAAAAGAAAATAATTTGCATCAGGATTTAGTCCTTTAGCAACGAAGGCTTTATGATGCAGAAGCTGATCGTGATAATGAAATTATACGAAGGCAACTTGCTGAAGGTAGAATAACTAATGTTATTGGTGATCTCCATCAATATCAAACTAATACTCAAAACCAGGTAAATAGAATGATAGGTAATATGGCAAAAAAACAAGCCTGTATAGGTGTGCTGGTACAAGAAAAATTTGCCTTACAATTATTGTATCAGCGAAATGCACACCACTTACAGCGAAGTAGAGGGGATATAGGTCTGTTAGAATTTAATCGAGACAGGCTCTATGAACGATATGAGAAATGGAAAAATAAGACCCAAGCAGAGCGCCAGAATAATTTAAATTTACAGGGACAAATTTTGGCGCTTCAGAATAATCCACCTAATCAAGTAAATATGGCAGGAATACCTCATCCATATTTCGACTGGGATGATAGTATCCCAGACTTTCTTGCACAACTTAGACTAGACTTGCAGAATCGGGAAATAGATCCAAATGATAATGTAGCAGGTTCTCCAATATGAAGAGATAATGCAATAGGACATTTAAGAGCCTGTATGAGAGGAAGGACTTTAGAATGGTTCGATGATGAGATTACTACAAAGCAGAATTGGAAGCTAACTAACTTACTCAATAATACAGGGAAGGCTAACTTAGTTGCAGTAAATGGGCGAACTGCAGTACAGATAGGAGCTAATGCATTAAATGAGGCTGTTGGCCAACCAGGAAATGCAATAGTCAAGTTAAGAGCTGTAGAAGATGCTTGGAATGAAGACTGGCGTATAGCAGGTGGCTGTCCTACTAATGCTCCTGTAAATGCACCAAATGCTAATGCTAAAAATACAGTAGTTGTAGCTGGTATTCGATTTGGTCAAGCCGTATGGTGACTAAAAACTCATTTCCCTACAGTAGAAGAGGAACTTTGGGATTTGATGTATGGAACAATCAGAAAGGGAGACATGACTATAGATGAATTATATAGAAAAATATTACGAATAGGTAGACGAGCCAACTATAGACCTGAAGAATTACGTAAAAAGTTCTTAGATGCTTTACCACTTTTATGGCTTGAAAAAGCTGAAGATATTGGTAAACATTTGCCATTAGATGAATTAGCTAAAAAGCTTTATGAGATAGAATTACGCCAAATAGCTAGATATAAAAGAGATAAAATATCTGATCCGCTAGTATCTAATCGAGCATCTTGGCAAATATATGAACCTTTACCTGTTTCAGCTTCACAACAGTATGGAATATCTTTCGAAGATATGCAAAAAGCACTAGCACAGCAAAAAACTGAATACCAGTCTTTATTAGAAAAACAAAAAGCCGATTTCTAATCACAAATGGTCCAGCAAACTAAAAAGATACCTCCACCAGTTCCTCCTAAAAATATGGAACAGCTTCTTGATACATATGAAAGCGCTAATCCTTTTCCTAATACACTTACTAAGGAAGAAATAATGAGAGTGATCGCAAAAGCTTATGGGCCACCTCCTAAACCACAAAAACCAGAAAAGTTGCAATCATTTAGAATCGATAGATTAGAGTCAAAAATAGATGAAATTGGTCAGATGACATCTAAGTTTGGTAGGATATCACTTAATGATCAATCTCGAAAGCCTTTTTATTGCAGTAATTGCGGACAGGAAGGGCATAAGAAGAATAATTGCCTAAGGTTAAATCCTGTAGCTAAATCCAATTTTACTCAATGTTACTATCCTCAACTTCCATCTACACAGCCCCAATATACGCCTCCAGATTCAGATAATGAGGAAGATGGTTATGATAAAGTAGAAAATGGGTGGTATTATGTATCAGCAAAAAAAAACAGTCACTAGTAAATAAAAAGTTGTCTTTAGAATCCAGCCAGCCTGAAACGTATGACGAGCTATTGCCAAAACTTTCACTGGCAATGCGCAAAATATGTCTATCTCGAAAGGCTCAGGAGGAGAAGTCAAAGAAAGATGAGTAGTTTTCGTCATTACAATATCTGAATGCTAATATAGATGATTTAATGATATCTAATTCTTTTTTAGATGGTGGGAGTGAGTTCGGGGGTAAATGATGCAACAATTAATGCCCTTGGGTGGAAAGCTGACAAGCCATTAGACTTCACAATAAAAGATAACTCCAAACATATCACCGAATCATTGAGATGGTTTACGGATGTGCCAGTCAGTATAAAGTAAGGTTGCGGGCTAAACTGGTTTTTGAATTTGGCAAAACGTCTAAACCTCAATTTTGTCAATTTTTTTATAAGAGTTTATTATAGTTTTGTCATTTCATATGATTTTTATAGTCAAGTTTCACCAAATTTTTATTAATATTTTAATATAGTTTTGTCAAGTTTCGCATTTACTATGAGGTTTCGCCTGCAACCTTAGTATAAAGGATAAGGATGGTAAATCGGTTACAGCTACTGGAAATTTTACTCGTATTAATAATGGTGAGCCTGAACCAATGCTATGTTTAGGTATGACATGGATTCGAAAAGTTCAAGGTATTTTCAATCCGAATAAAAACCAATTCTGAATGAAGTTACATGGGAAGTCTTACACTATTCCAACATATAGCAAGGCCCCAGTGGCTAAAGATTCGTCAAAAGAGGATCAGGACCAAGTAACTACCAATTCCTCTAACCTGACTAGTGTAGAGGTAGACTCTGAATCCGGTCAATCCGGATATCTGGTGATCCATCCGAAAATTAACCAGATTCAGATTGATCCGGATGATTCATCGGATTGACCGGATGGATCATCAGATATCCAGTGATTTTTTTTTTTTTTTTTAACAGTTTATATTTTAGGTTCGGAGGACGGAAGACAGGCCACAGAAAAGGGTAAGTTTTTTTTTAACCTTTGAGCTTTTTTTATCTTTATTTGATTAGTTTCTTTTATTATAGGATACAATGGCACTACGAACTACAGATCTCAACAATGAAAGTTAGGGTAAGTTTTTTTATTACTGTTCTTTTGTCTTTGGAACGTTACTATCATTCCTTTTTCTTTCTTTTCTTTAAGGAATGCTGATCTAGAGCTAGATTTATAAAGGTACGTTGGAATGAGTGTCATTTTGGCCATTAGAAACGTCATTAATGCTTCTTTTCTTTAGGGGGCATCTTTCTGGACCTAGGTTTCAGCTTGGGCTATAAATGTGAGTATAAACTTCTTTGTTTTTCGTCTTGAGAACGTCACTAACGTTCCTTTTACTTCATTTCTTTAGGGAACGCTTGTTTGGACTTGGATTTCGATAAATGTGAGTATAAATTTCATTGTTTTTCGTCTTGGGAACGTCACTAACGTTCCTTTTATTCCATTTCTTTAGGGGACACGTGTTTAGACCTGGATTTTGGCTTGGATTATAAATGTGAGTATAAATTTCTTTGTTTTTTGTTTTGGGAACGTTACTGACGTTCCTTTTACTCCATTTCTTTAGGGGACGCGTGTTTGGACCTGGATTTCGGCTTGGCTATAAAGGTTCTTCACATGTTCTTATACGATGATTGTTGTTATTTGTATCATTATTAGATGTGGACGTTTGTTGAACTGGTTGAGGTTGATGTGTGTTTGGAACTTTGGATCAATAACCACAACAATATTGCACAACAATACCCAAAGACAGAAACTATCTAGGTCTCAGAGAATAAGATCAAACAAATGGAGGAAATGTATAATGCGGTAACTACAAGTGTAAATGTCTTTGTTTTCCGTCTTGGGAATGTCACTAACGTTCCTTTTACTTTATTTTGCTTAGGCTATGAAGGTAAGTTATGGGTGGGGGTTTTTTTTTTGTTTTTTTTTGTTTTTGGAATGTCACTAACGTTCCTTTTACTTCATTTCTTTAGGGGACGCCTGCCTGGACCTGGATTTCGGCTTGGGCTATGAAGGTAAATTATGAGTGAGGTTTTTTGTTTTTTGTTTGTCTTTGGAACGTCATTAACGTTTTTTTTACTCCATTTCTTTAGGGACGCCTGTCTGGACCTGGTTTTCAGCTTGGGCTATGAAGGTAAATTATGAGTGAGGTTTTTTGTTTTTTGTTTATCTTTGGAACGTCATTAACGTTCCTTTTGTTTTTTTTTTCTTTAGGGGACACTTTCTTGAACCCAAATTTCAGCTTGGATTATGAAAGGTATGTTTGGAATAAGTAAATGTCACTTTTTTTTGTTTTGGGAATTAATAATATTTATTTTACTTTTTTTTTAGGGATGTTTCTTTGAACTTTGTTTTTTGCTTTGACTTTGAATTATAAGTTGAAAAAGAGGAACTTTATTTTTTGTTTGAGAATATTATTAAGGTTCTTTTTAAATGGTAAGTTGGGATGGGGTGAATTTCATTTTTATTTAAGAACATTACTATAAATATTTCTTCTGATTTTTTTTTTATAGGCACCTTAAATTTTACAAGGTCAATTAGAAAAAGGAAAAGATCAGTTTTGTAAAACAATCTTAAATAAAGATAATCTATTTAAGTTTTTATTTTATCTAACTTTATTTGTTATTGATAATCAAAAAGTATTTGTAATTCAAATTACATGTAAAATTTTTTATTTTTTTTCTCACACTTTCTTCTTTTTCTTGTAAAAGAATTTTAATTTTTTACAATAATTTTTTATATATTTTCTTATAAATATGAGTTCAAGTTCTGTTGAAAATGATCAGAATAATCAAAATGATCAAGATTCCACTAAAAAAAAAAGAGGTGGATCTCAAAAAAAAAGTTGGGTATGAGAGTAGTTTGTATCTAATGATGGAATTACTGCTATATGTCAAGTAGAAGTTATCTCAGGTGAAATATGTGGTAAAAAATATCAGCATAAAGGTTCAACAGGCATTTTGATAGATCATTTAAGTGGTAAACATCAAATAACAAAAGAAACAACAAAGCAAAATTATGTGGTAAGAAATAATTGTAATTTAATTTATTTAAATTTAATAATTTACTAATTAATAATTTAATAATCTTAGCCTCCAGAATTTCATGGGTTAAAAATTACACCACATAAGGAGTCTCGTCAAATCGAACTTCGTAATCTATTAATTAGTTGGATAATTTTTGATACTCAACCTTTAAATATTACACATTCAAAATCTTTTCAAAGATTTATAAAAGAACTTGACCCAGCATTTAACATTCCAAATGTTAAATTAATTAAACAAACCATCCAAAGTGCCTATAATTATACACTTCCTTTAATTCAAAAATTTGTTGAAAATAATGCAATTTCAATTAATTTGAGAACTGATATGTGGACTGGTAGAAACAGACAGGGATTTTTGGGTGTAGTAACTTGTTCTTTTTTAGATAAAAATTTCACCATTCATAAAGTTATCCTTACAATTGATATCCTCATACCGCACAAAATATATTTGATGCATTATTTGTTATTCTAGATGAATGGGGTTTAAGAGATAAAACAAATGTAATAGTAACTGACAATGGTGCAAATATGAAAAAAGCCATAAAAGAAATGAATAATATTACATCTAATATAAAATGGCAGCCATGTACCGCCCATACTTTACAATTAGTGGTGGGAAAAGGTTTAAATTCAGTCAAATTATTAGTATTAAGAGCAAAAAAACTAATTGATTTTTTTTTAAGACCAAAACAAAGTCAAAGATTAGAGGAAATTCAAAAAAAATCACAAAATCAAATTGATGTGGTAAGGATTTTAATTTTATAATTTATTTTTATTAATTATTTAAATTATTTTTATTTATATAATAATTTTTATAATAATTAGAATGCTGGCAAAACTAGCGAATATTTCCTTCAAATGGTTGCAGATATTTCCACTAGGTGGAATTCAACATACTATGCTTGGGATAGGTTAATTAAAATCAAAGGTTATATTCAAATTCTAATTGTAGAATTAGTAAATAATGAAAGTGATATTGATGCAAAAAAAGATGGAAAACAACTTGAAAAAATTATGTTAAGTTCTGATGAATGGGAACTTTTACAACAATTAGTTATAACTCTTGGACCATTTGAAGAGGCAACTAATTATCTTGGTGGAGAAAAATATATTACACATAGCATTATGAATCCAGTAATTGAACAAATTAAAACTTTATTACTTTTACCATTATCTAATTCACCTAGTTCATCTACACCTACGTCACCTACATTATCTACATTACCTGTAACAGCCTTTAATACATTAGAAATATATCAGGAAATTGAAAATGCAGCTGACATTTTTGTTTTAATAGAAGAAGTGGAAATTTTAGAAAATAATGTTGAAAATAATAATAATCAAGCAAAAGAAGACAAAATTAATTTGGATAAACCGTTAGAAACTAAAGATCTTCTAGATCAAGTAAAAAAAGATCTTTATAATGCAATGTGTTTTTATTGGAATGTTTTATCCGAAGATTATATAGTATCAACAATACTTGATCCCAGAATTAAGTCTATAAATAATAAAGTAAAAGGAGAGGAAATTTTACGTAAAAAATATGAAGAATATAAAGAAAATTATTTACCAACTCCCAATGAACTATTCCTGTATGTAACATCCACTCCTTCAGAAAGGTTATTTTCTGATGCAGGAAATCTACTTACAGCAAAGCGATCCAAAATGAATTCAGAACTTTTTAAGCATGTAATGTTTTTAAAAAGAAATGCAATTAAAGTTAATAATAATATTTATAATATTTATGGATAATTATTTATAGTTTAAATTAATCAGTTATATAATTTATTATAATAAATATACTATTATTTTATTAAAATTATAAAACTTATTGTAGAATCCTAAAACTAATAATTTTAAAGATTCCCATTCCTTAAAAAAGAAGCAAAGAGTTCCCAAATAAAGAAAAATAAAATAAAAATTCTTCTTTTCCATCTTACAATTTAAAATCCAAACTAAAATTCAGGTCCAGGAAAGCATCTAAAGAAAAAAGAAAAAGAATGTTAATAACACCCCCAATGACAAAAATAAACAAAAACATCCTTCTCCTAACTTACCTTCATAGCCCAAGCCAAAATCCAAGTCTCCTCTAAGATAAAAAAAAAGGAATGTTTATGACATTCATAATGACAAAAAACAACAAAAGTCCCTCTTAAGTTAAGATCTAAGTCCGGGAAGACGTCTCCTAAAGAAAGAAGAAGGAACGTTAATGACGTTTCCAATGACTAAAAAAAAATGAAACCCTTACTCCTAACTTACAATTACAGCCCAAAGCCAAAAACCAGGCGTTCCCTAAAGAAAAAAAGAAGAAGGAACGTTAACGACGTTCCTAATGGCAAAAACAAATAAAAACCCCACTTACAAAGGTCCAGGCAGGCATCCCCTAAAGAAATGGAGTAAAAGGAACGTTAGTGACATTCCCAAGACGGAAAAACAAAGAAATTTACACTTGTAGTTAACGCATTATACATTGCCTCCATTTGTTTGATCTTATTCTCTGAGATCTAGCTAGTTTCTGTCTTTAGGTATTGACTGATTAGAGGAGAGTAGTTGTGACCATACGTATACTGTTGGGTTTTTTATATGATTTTGTGACAGGATCAGAAATTTGTTGTGCGATATTGTTGTGGTTATTGATCCAAACACACATCAACCTCAACCAGTTCAACAAACGTTCACATCTAATAATGATACAAATAACAATAATCATCATGTAAGAACACGTGGAGAACCTTTATAGCCCAAGCTGAAATCCAGGTTCAGGCAGACGTCCCCTAAAGAAATTGAGTAAAAGGAACGTTAGTGATGTTCTAAAGACAAAAAAAAACAAAAAACCCCCACCCATAACTTACCTTCATAGCCCAAGCCGAAATCCAGGGTCCAGGCGGGCGTCCCCTAAAGAAATGGAGTAATAGGAAGTTAGTGACGTTCCAAAGACAAAAAAAAAACCCCCCACTCATAATTTACCTTTATAGTCAAGCCGAAATCCAGGTCCAAATACGCGTCCCCTAAAGAAATGGAGTAAAAGGAACGTTAGTGACGTTCCCAAGACAAAAAAAAACACAAAAAAACCTACCCATAACTCACTTTCATAGCCAAAGCTGAAATCCAGGTCCAAACATTAAACTAACTCGTTTTACTATACTTTGTTTACTTTCCGTCATGGCTGGTTGGGGAGTTGTTACTTTCGAAGTTTCCATATATTTATTAATACTTTAACCGTCAGTAAGACTGCCTAATCTCATTTGTGGGATATATATATATATATATATATATAAACACACGTCTTCTAAAGAAATGGAGTAAAAGGAACGTCAGTGACGTTCCCAAAACAAAAAACAAAGAAATTTATATTTACATTTATAATCCAAGCCGAAATCCAGGTCCAAACACGCGTCCCCTAAAGAAATGGAGTAAAAGGAATGTTAGTGACATTCCCAAGATGAAAAACAGAGAAAATTACACTTACCTTTTGAAATCCAAGTCGTCCAAGTTTAATTCCGAAGTCCAAGTTATAAGTTCAAACCCGTCCTTAAAGAAAAAAGTTTTTTTTTTTTTTTTAAAAAAAAAAAGCATAATATTAAAAAAAAAATAGACCAGATTGGACCAGATTATCTGATCAATCCGGTCAATCCGGTCATCTATGTAACATCTGATCAATCCGATGTTATCCAATGGATCCATCCAGATTATTCACAATCCGTTCATTCCTAATCTGGATGATCCGTTTTTTGATCGAATCGGATGATGGATTGAACAGATTTTACCGGAGCACACCTCTACTTCATAATCAGTTTCTTCATAATTTTTTATCAGTTTTATGTATAAATTCCAGCTTTGCTTTAAATTAAACTGACTTAGTATTTTTTCCCAACCTTCATTATTAACTTCTTCCCAATAAGAAGGAGGTACCGAACAGTTTCTCCAATCCGAGCCATCGCAGTTGTTGGCAATAAAGTAAAATCTTAGTGCTCGTTTTAATATTGTGGATAGCCTTTTTTTCCTTTGAAGATTTGTACTCCAGACATGCTTTATATCATTTTTGTAAGGAATTCCCTTAGTGGCGCAATTTATTGCATAAATAGCAAGTTTGGCTAAATTTTCATAAGTAACTGACGAACGTACTCCCGTGCAATTTTTTAAAATACTTTGTAACACCTTCTTTCGATATTCAACATATGGTATTAAGACTTCTAAATTAAATAAACATAATTAAATTCATTTAATCTTTATTAACTTTATTAAAGAATCGATAAATTAGATATAATACCAATATGCAAAATTTCCAAATCTTTGTTGTAAGATTTATTATTTTTAAAAAATTCTTTAATTTCTTCAATTTTTTCTTCAGGATGTTTTTTTTTTACATCTATAATTCTCTTTATCTTGTTCTTCTTCATTATCACTAATATTATATGTAAATTCTTGACAAATATTTGCCCGTTTTATTACTTGAAAAGGTGTTAAATTTTTGACTCTACCAACTCTATCATCATTATTTTTTTTAAAATAAACATTATTATTTAAAATAAACAAATTAGTATTTTTATCAAAAAAAAAAATAAGAATTTTCATCCATGACAGAATTCAGTGCATTAATACAATCGTTAAGTGTTAATTTTGGAGATTCCATAATTATTTTTAAAATTCGTGAATTTCAAATATTATGTGAAAGAGAAAACAGGCGAGAAGGAGAGTATTTATATAGCTGAGTACTTGTAACGCGCAATTTAAAACAGCTCGTAACCACGTGCATTTAATCTGAAGAAACTGGGTTACGCACCATCAAAGCAGCGCGTCACCAAAACCGGGTTATGTGCCATCAAAACAGCGCATCACTGAAACTGGGTTACGCACCATTAAAATAGCGCATTACCAAAATCGGGTTATGCGCCATCAAAGCAGCACGTCACTGAAACTGGGTTACGCACCATCAAAGCAGCGCGTCACTGAAACTGGGTTATGCGTCATCAAAGTAGCGCATCACCGAAATCAGGTTACGCACCATCAAAGCAGTGTGTCACCAAAACTGAATTACGCGCCATCAAAGTAGCGCATCACCAAAACCAGATTACACACCATCAAAGCAGCACATCACCGAAACCAGATTACACACCATCAAAGCAGCGCGTCACCGATATAAATACTATAAAATAATTATTAAATATATATGTAAAGCCTAAATTGATTTACTTCGTAAAAAATAAAATTATATGGAATATATACTTTTATTAAAGCAATTATAAATTACAATTTATATAATAATAATAAAACAAATATATAATTACTAGTTATTATTATTCATTTTACACCTATTTTACATTTTAATAATTTTTTATTTGCATGTATTTTTGACAAAGAAAATACAATAATATTAAGTTTTTTTTTTTACTTATAACTTAAAAATAACTGTTATATTTGCTTATAAATTTTTTCATTATATTTAATAAAAGTGAATAGAAAAATAATAAAAAAATGATGGGCAGCTGAAAATCACCATGCGTTTAATTTTGATTATGTATCTCTCTTGACACAAGAAATAATCTTTTTAATGGCATATATTATTGAAACAGATTCTTCAAAGCTGATAGTCTTCAGAGATCTTGAGGATCATAATGGATTTTCCTGTAATCAAATAATACATTGACGTTAAAAAATAATCTAATCTCAGAAGAGATACTAGACCAGAAACATTCAAAAATGTTGCTGACATAACTTATGCGAAAATAAGGTTTTTTCTAGTTGCTATGAAGAGAACTGGATTAAATTTCAACCAAGGCAATTAGTAATAGATTTCACTCTTGTCTAATTACTAATATTTTTCAATTTTATATAGATAAAATCCTTATGAAAAGAGTTTGATCTATTAGGAAGTTTATTAAAATCAGTGAAGTATCCTTCCAAACAGAAAAAATCTTGAGATCTTGAGAATTCCATAAAAATAAAATCGATTCCGCATCAATCATATGACTTGGTCAGAGAAACAGGAAGGGTTTGAAGGAAAATGAATGTAGAATTCAGCATGATCCCATTTTTTCCAGTGTTAACCCTATAAAAAATTTTATCCGTTATTTCTGTAAAAACTCCGTAAAAATGAGCCTTTCACAGATTCATTCACGGAAAATGAAAATAATTCGATAAATTCCGCGATATAAGGTTATTAATTCCGGAAATATGAGCCTTTTACGGAAAAAAGACAGAATATAAAAAACAGATTAACTTTTTTTACAGGGTAAATATGGCGATTATAAGTCAATTAGATTAGCAAATAGTAAATTTGACTTTTACTTTTTGTATACTGATTTTTATTTTATACAGATGAGTGTTCGTGTTGTAGTGATGAAAAGATTATTAATATAGGTCTCTTTCCAGAATCTTTTAATATAAACAAACGGATTTTGGCGGACTTAAAGGGATACTAGAATGTGAATTTTAATAGCAAAGCTTGAATTTAAAATAAAGAATTTTCGTATTGTTTACAATCCTTAGATAAAGCAATTACGATTATTGTCATGTAGTAAATTATCTATAAAAATGTAAGAAATAAGCGTCAACTATTAAACATTAAAATAAAAAGATTTGGTTACTTGCCTTTTCCGCTTTTACAACTATTTCCAAGGTTCACGAATGCCGAATGATCTAAAAAATGTAAAACAAAATAGATCAGCCCTAAAATCACTAAGTGGCTCATTGCAGATAGGAGATTTCTCCTATTAGCATACACTTCGCTAAACTATCTATCAAAATACAAATCTAAAACCTATGAGTGGCTCATTGCAGACAGGAGATTTCTCCTATTAGCACGCACTTGCTAAACAATCTTTCAATATATAAATCTAAAATCTATGAGTGACTCATTGCAGACAAGAGATTTCTCCCTTTAGCATGCACTTCGCTAAACTATCTATCAAAATATGAATCTAAAACCTATGAGTGGCTCATTGCAGACAGGAGATTTCTCCCATTAGTATGCACTTCACTATACTATTTATCAAATATAAATCTAAAATTATGAGTGACTCATTGCAGACAGGAGATTTCTCCTATTAGCACGTACTATCTACACTCTATCCTACCCATATTATAACGATAAACTATCAAGCATATTATAAGCTAAATTTAATTTACTATAAACTTCTTTAACGGGCTGAGTAAACGACTTATAACAGATAGGAGAATGTCACCCTGTTAGCTCGCACTTACTATTTTCGTCATCTTTATTTACTTCCTGCGCGGATTTATCTATATAATTATTAAAGGTTACTAAATAACAAATGAACTTTATCTTGAAAAACAAAATTAAAAGTACATGCCATTTATAAAAGTTTCCTCGTACTGCTTAGTTAACTTATTTACCATTAGTTTGCTTTGCATATATTTATTGTAATTTTTAAGTCTATTAATATCTTTCTGATGTTTAAGTTTAGATCTCTTTTTTTTCTTTTTTTTAATTTTCGAAACTGTTCCATTTTTTTCTCTTCTTAATATATTCTGTTTTCTGTCTAACGCCCGTTGTGCACTATTTCTCTGTTTTTTTGGCGAGTTATTTACCGTTACCATTTTTAAGATTTAAAGTGAACAGTAGAAGAAAAAAATGTTTTTTTGAGATGCGAAAAGAAAAAATTTTTTTGTGAGGGAATAGGACCCCGCTTACTTCTAATAGAGGTCTCCGAAAATAATAAGGTAAAATTGTATATAAAATTTAATATTTACCTTATATATACTAATTTGAAATATTGTACAACAATTATTACAATATTTGGTAATATACGTTTTATAATTTTTTCTCAAAATAAAAAATTTATTCTTTTCTTTATACTTGTAAAAACCATTTTATATTTTTAATTTTATTTGCATTAGCACTATCTTTTTGAAAATTATTACAAAAATTAGCTTTTAAAATATAAAAATTCGTACAGCAATTAGCAACTTCAGAATTTAATTTCAGTACTTTGGTTAAATCAAATCATATTTTACTATCTAAGAAAGTTGTTTAGTAAGGTCGAACTACTTATATTTGAATTTTTATAGCAGTTGGAGTAATATTTATTGCATACGAGCATTTTTTTATTTTAATATTAACTTAAAATTTACGTTTTTTGTTTATTAAATTCGGAGCGTAATTTGGGCATTTTAGTCAAATGAAATCACCTTTTTAAGCTTAAGTAATATTGTTCGGCGAGATCGAAAC